GGGGGGTGGTGGGGTGGGGTGTGGGGGGTGGGGGGGGCGGGGGGGGGGGGGGCTGTTTGAGTCTTTCAGAGATTCAAGACAGGAACCAAGATTCACCTCACAGCAGGACAATGAGTGCACAGCTGGAGTAACACTCCAGTGGTTTAGGCAGAACCAGTTGAATTTCCTGGATGGTCCACTTAAAACTTAGACCTCAATCCAAATGAGAATCTCTGGTTTGATTTAAAAAATGTTGGACGCAAGCAGCATCCATCCAGCCTGAAGGAGCTGCAGCAGTTTGGTCATGAATGAGCAAAACTTTCCCCAAAGTTTCTCCTAAAATAAAAAAAATAAAAAAACAGAAAACATTGGGTTCACAGGAACCAAATGGTTCTTGACCAGGATTTATATTTTTGAAAATATGTAATAAATGTGTTTTAGAATAGTTTTTCTGGAATATAAAATAGATAATAAAAGATAAAGGCTTGATTCGTGTAATTATAGGGATTATTTTACATTAATTTTAGCTGTACATGTTTATTATAATGATAGAAACATGTGAGAATTTTGTTTATTTTCATAAAACAATGAAAATAAGTAGATTATTAGTAGTCCCATTCCTACAGAGGACTCTCTCTAAAAACACATTTTCAAGTTGGAGCTGTGACACTGAGAGTTCTGGTCCCCAGGTATTCCCACCCACGAGAGCCCACCTACTGGAGCCGGCAGTCTCTGAGCAGCCCGAGCCCGGTGGAGACGGAGATGGACCTGCTGGTGCTCAGGGAGAGATCCAGGAGGGGCATCCGCAACAACGGCTATGATGTAAGTACCTGCACCTGTTGGAAATATATAAGTTAGTATCGTGGGGCAAAAAAAGCCACATTTAAGTTTGAGAAAAGGCCGGGAGATAAAAATCAGTTTTAGAAAGATTCGAAGTAAAAACCAGGAATCCTCTAGTTTTAACCCAGACCTCAGACTCACTGAAAATCCTCTGCAGCTGAGATTCAGTGAAAAGGCCCCGGCAGCAAGAACGTTCAACGCTTTGAAATCAGATTTTCTCTGAAGCTGCAGCTCACATTTTCCGACCCTGTGAGTCACACACAGCAGTGACAAAACGGGTCACTTTTTATAGTTGCTGGGAAGTAAAACGCTGCGTCTTTGTCAATCTATTAAAACAATCTTCTACGAGTACTTATAACTTTAATCCTTCCTCTCCCCTCTTCCTCGCTGATTGCTTTAAGCTCAGACCAAAAGGATTAACAAATTATCCTTCAATGAACTTTAGAAACCTGCACAAAGCAGAGATAAGAAAATAAAGATGGAAAACATGAACAGAAAAGGTGATTTTTTTATCAGGAGATAAGGACAAAAGATGGGAAGAAAAGAAGATAAAAAGAGCCCAGACTGAGTGTGAGTGAAATATGTTTCTGCTGCACCTCTGATGCTCAAACCATACCAACAGAAGCGACCGCGCTACCTGGCTGAATGTCAACGACTCTGAATTTGATTATAACCTATTCAAGGATTCAGACGGGAGACTCGATAGCTGTTAATAGCCCGGGAATGCAGCAAACGGATGGAAGGTGGACAAGGAGAACAGGATGTGTTGTTGCAGGAGCACATCTGTATACAATGTAGGCATTTAGCTACTCGTTTTATCTTTACTGCTTTAAAATGATCATGTTTAGCGTCAAAGGTGGTTTCACTTCTTTTTGTGAGCTTTAAACCCCCTTTTGTGTGGTTCTATAGTATGTTAGTAAGGGTTTTCAGTAAACATTTAGTTCAAACTTGATCATATTCTGCAGCTTTATTGGCCCTATTATGACCAAGGAATTATGATTAGAAAATTATGTACTTTTGCTCTCTAAAATATTTTTCTTATGCAAATATTTACGTGAAAGCATGAAATATCAAAATGTCATTAAAAAAAAAAACTGACTGATGTATGAAGGTCTCATTTAGGGTGCACAAACCCAGAGATCTGAAACAGAATACAAAGATCTAAAGGAAAATGCAGCTTTTAAAGTGCAAAGTAGTATTAAGGTTATGTGTTTATATATATATATATATATATATATATATATATATAT